TGACCCCGTTCTTTAATCACTGGAACTCAGGCACTCTTTAAAGGAATACTTCCCACAGGCCAACAGTTGATTACTGTGGTCATTTGCACTTCCTTAAACTCTTCTTGTATACACAGAAAAGCAAACAAAACATTCCCCCAAAGCAACATGAAAGGTCTGATTGCAACCCACAAAACTACAAGAAAACAGATATCTGCAGCCAAATTGCATACATGCAGAATCACAGATGACCTGAATGGGCATTCAGCGGACAGACCTGGTCTTTGACGCTACCACTTTCAAAAGGAAGTGGTAATTTTAAGTTTCTTTGCTTTCTCATGATAGAGAATGTAGACTAATTGCTATAGCACATCCAGGGTTTGGGTATCAAAATAAATTACACAGCTATTCCTCTGAGTAGCAGTCTGTGATGCCCATTCTGATTAGCTCATTAAAGGCAAGAAAAAAATATGAAGAAGGACACCAACCCTATGGGAAGCAGGGTTCCCACTCAAGTACCTTTATGCAAATCCAACAACAAGATAAAGCACAATATCCAGCAAACACAGGCACACTGCCACCCAGGCCTTTGGATGGACTTAGGGGTGAGAACGGAGGCAAGAAATATTCTGCCTTCCCTTCTTCTCAAGTTATATTCTCATGCTGACCCTCAAGCTTCAAAAATAGTTTTTCCAGGGGAAACAGAAGAACCAGGAGATGAATGAGATGCCCCTGAATGAGACAGAATCAAAGAAAGGGCCGACCCTTTCCATAAGGATGTTGCAGAGAAACTCTGGAGAAACACACCCACGGTCTCACCTGTGGAGAGTTTGGGCAAATTCCCCACATCTTCATTCTCAACCACAAGGTAGCCAGAGGGTCCTAACGGCCAAACTGGCCCAACGGAGTGTGGCTCTCCCACTCCCGGAGCCTGAGACCCTCCCCCCTGTAGACCATAAGACAATGGTTTTCATTTCAAGGGCATTAACAGTTTCCCAGGTGGTGCTAGTAGTAAAGAACCTGCCTACCAATGCAGGAGACATTAAGAGACAACAGGTTCAGTCCCTGGGTTGGGAAGATCCTGTGGAGGAGGGCATGGCAACTCACTCCAGTATTATTTCCTAGAGAATCCCATGGACAGAGGATCCTCATGGGCTACGGTCACACAGTCAGACATGACTAAAGCGACTTAGCACAGCACAATGGTTTCCTGGTGACCAAAGTGTAAAGATTTTACACTGATGCAAACCAAAGAGTCAAAATGAAAACCCCTTTCTCTTGTTCAGTCTGTGTTTTTCAAAATTTTCGTAATGTCATACCTCACTTTATTTTCACAGTAAGCTATAAGGTCAGGGCATATACCAGGTTAAGGAAGACCTCTAAATAAATGATATGTCTTGTATTTTTCAAGTGAAAACAAAGCCCAGGGGAACAAAAATAAGAAACGAAGTATAAAAACAAAGACACTGTCCTATGTTAATTAGTTTTAAAAAATTAAGATTCTTAAACTAAGCGTTTACATTTAAAATTTTTTTTGAAGTATAGCTGATGCACAAAGTTATATAAGCTACAGGTGCACAAAAGTAAATATGTTGAGTGCATATGTTTATAACCAGTTCAGTAGCTAAGAGAACACGGAGGAACCTGTGCCAATTTTATGTTGCTGTCAGGGGTGAAGGTCCAAGGGCAGCAGAGGCAACAAGTCAAGGCAGAAATGTGCAGACTCATTCAGACTTTGACCCTGAGTGTGTTTCTAAACCATGATTTAGAAAGTCTCTTGCCTCTCTACATTCCACCCTTTCTCTAAAAGTAAGAGTACCGCCTGTTTTGAACCACAAGTCAAACAGTACATTTTGTTCTGGTTTAACCCTCTAAGTCCAGCACAGGCATACCTCAGAGAGACTGAGGGATAAAGCAAATATTGCAATAAAGTGAGCTGCACAGATTTTTTGATTTCTCAATGAACATAAAGTCATGTTTATACTACAGTGCAGTTGATCAAGTGCATGACAGCACTGTGTCTAAAAATATAAGGCACCTATCTTAATTTTTAAAATACTTTATTGCTAAAAAATGCTAACCATCATCCAAGTCTTCAGCGAATCATAATCTTTTCGCAAAACTAACATCAAAGATCACTTATCACCATAACCCATATAACCATAATGAAGAAGACTGAAATATTTCAAGAATTACCAAATGTGACAGAGACACAAAGTGAGCAGATGCTGTTGGAAAAATGGTGTTGACAGACTTGCTGGACACACAGGCCTGCCACAAGCCTTCAATTTGTAAACAACTGTAAACAATCTGTGAGGCACAATAAAAAGAGATCTGCTGGTACTGAAGAAACAGATCTGATTAAGGGACCATCATCTCTAGGAAAGAGATGATGTTTTCCTGTGGAAAACAGGAATAAATTCCCAACTTGCATACACTGTTATCAAGAGTGTTTCACAACACAGAAATGGTGGCTGTTCAATTCCATCTCCTTCCCTGCTCACATCATGAATTCGCATCATGAATTCCTATGTGGCACCTGAAAGGCTCTCTACAGTGAAGCCACCCCCATCATGGTCATGACACAAAAGGGCCTGTGACTTTGCCATGGCAAGGCACTATGGTAAACTAGTGGGGTGTACAGGTGCTTTCCCAACGCTAGTTCATTCATGAAAAAGACAGTCTCTAAAAGGACTCCACGGTGAGCTGACAGGAAGGAGAAGAAAGCAGAGTCTTTACATGCGTTTTGTATGTTATGAAATGGCAACCCCCCTCCCCACCACCTTCAACTACCTTCACCTTTTCCAGCTTCACATGTAAAGTCAGCTTCCACCAAAAATTAAACTGTGGAGTAACAAGATGGCCACCAAACAGGAGGCCAATGCACAAAAAAGCCAACTAGAGCACAAGACACAGGAGAATCACATTGCTGCCATCCTGCAGGTGACTTAGAGGCTCGCTTCACTCTGGAAGGCTGTAGCTCAGTTTGGATTTTATCCGGTGAGCTGTGCGGATTAACTGGTAGATTTTAGGCAGAAGAATGGCACAATCAAACTATGTTTTAAAGAGAGTTCAGGGACGTCCCTGGCGGTCCAGTGTTTAAGGCTTCACTTTCCAATGCAGGGGGCAATCGATCCTCATTGGGAAGCTAAGATCCCACATGCCTCGAGATCAAAAATCCAGAACAGAAGCAATATTGCAACAACTTCCATAAAGGCTTTAAAAATGGTCCACATCAAAAAATTCTTAAATAAATGAAATAAAATAAGAAGCGAGTTCATGCTGGCAGCACTGTGAAAGCTGTGGTGAAGTCCGGGGCCAGGAGGCTATGACAGTGGCCCTGGAAACAGACAACCAGCACATGGACAGAGGCAGTGGGAATGGAGAAGAGGAAGAAGAGAGTGCAGAGGCGCACTCGATGGACCAGGGCCTGGTTACAGGAGGTGAGGGAAAGACAGTGAAGCCAAGGCCATGCATGTAACTTTTCAAAACCTATTAATTATAAAAGAACTACAGTAATGGAGAGGACTCTTGAGGCTAATTCCAGTGGAACTACACCTCGATTTCCTTACCTTGGCAGCAGAATTTGATACTCCATGGGTAACATTTCTGATAAGGCCCCCAACGTTTCCATACTTTATCAGTCCAGTCACCCCTTCAGAAACGTCATTCAAAAGCCCCATGGGGTTGCCAAGGAAGTCCACCGACCCCAGGATCCGAGCTGCCTGACTAAGGAGTTCCTGTCAAATGGAGCAGGGAGAGAAGAAAAAACCAGCCTCTTTTTATATCTGCAGGTTGAGTGTCCCAAGCAAAAAGATTATAAATCAGTCTTGTCCTCCATTCCCACCACCAATTGCCCTTTATTTCTCAACTGTGAGCTCCTGCCCTTCCTAAGCTCCACCCTAAACCTCTCCCAATACACATATCCCAGAGGTTATCCTCAATACTCTCATATGTATTCTTCAAAGCCATTTAGAAGAAAAAAGCTATGAAACAGGAAAAGACTCTACAAGTATTTATTAGTACACACATCGCACTCTCCTTTCCATCGTCCTACAAATATGGAATCAACAAGCAGCAGAGAGAATTTTAACAGGAAAGTGAGGGAGGGATGTGGAGCCCCTCGGAGTTTGTGGAGCAGGCGGTATGCATAGAGCAGACAAGCTCAGACCTACCCCGCACCCCCCAACCTCCTGGACCTCCACGGCCTGACTCCACCATCCAGTGACATCCGCTATCCCTTCCTGCTCACAGTGCAGTAGAAACATCACCAGTGAGTGAGGTCAAGGAAGGAAGCAAGGAGGGAGGAGGAGAGGGAGAGATGGCAATAGGAACAGGACATACTTAACCTTTGACAGCTAAGAAGTTTGATATGATCCTGACCTATCTAGTCATCGAAGAGTATGTATGTGTTGGCTTTGCATTTGGTTCTTTGCAGTCAGGATAATAAATGCAAAATGGAAAATGCCCAAACTTGATTAAAAAAAAAATTTAAGTTCAACTCTAGGGCAGGATCTCACATGTTCCAAGAACACTGGTATGCTGGTTGAAAGTAAGCCCATGCCCAGTAAACATCGTTCACAGTCTTGTGTTATCATGAAAGCATCAATTAAACCCTTGGTAAGAGTTGTGACTGATCTAGTGGAAGGTCCTGAGACTAGTTCTAAGAACCAAGACTAACAGCTTGTAAGTCAGAGGCACTGTTTGGGGATTTTCATAATGTGCGTGGACTTCGTGGGCTGTGACCTGACCCCATAACACAATGGTCAGGGCTGAAATGTTCAGCTGGGCTGTTGGCAGTAATGTCTCAGTAACCAGAATTCCCCAACAACTAAAAGAAGCATTCTGCTCGTGCTCCAGCCACCAAGGACCACTCCAAAGCTCACCTCCTGGAAATGTTTGAGGATATCATTGATGATGAAGTCCTTGGTCTCATAGGGATGCACTCGAGTGAATGGATCCAGATTGATCACGGCATCTTCAAATCGAATCAATGGAAATCCCAAGGTGCTTTTCAGGGCCTAGTTAGGGAAGAAAGGCAACAACACACTTCAGCCATACGATGGCCTTCCACAGTACTGTAATTCTGGATTCCATGAAAGCTACAAGTCATGTCAACTTTCCAATGGGAGTCAAGGTTATGATATTCATAAATAAGGATTTTCCAGGTAAACATTAGGAAGATACACACACACACACACACACACACACACACACAGAAGTATCATCCAAAGTAACATATTATCACATAGAAATAAATACTTTAGCTTCACAGCATAATTCTTTATGATCTGTTTTGGATCTATATGTTTGTCATGTTTTACTTTCTTTTTTTTCCCCAGATTTTTAAATGTAGACCATTTTTAAAGTCTTCATTGAATTTGTTGCAATATTGACTTTATGTTGAGGTGTTTTGGCCATGAGGCATCTGGGACCCCACCTTCCCAACCAAGGATCGACCCCTGCCCCCCTGTACTGGAAAGCAGAATCTCAACCACTGGACCACCAGGAAGTCCCATGTTTTACTTTTTGACTGAAATATACCACTCATATGGAAAGGTGTACTCATCAAATGAATGGTTCAATAATTTTTCTCCAAGTAAACACAACCACAGTGACAGACTTTATTTTCTTCAACTCCAAAATCACTGCAGATGATGACTGCAGCCATGAAAGTAAAAGACGCTTGCTCCTTGAAAGAAAAGCTATGACAAATCCAGAGAGCATATTAAAAAGCAGAGATGTTACTTTGGCGACAAAGGTTTGTATAGTTGAATCTATGGTTTTCCCAGTAGTCATGTACAGATGTGAGAGCTGGACCATAAAGAAGGCTGAACACCAAAGAACTGATGCTTTTGAGCTATGGGTGTTGGAGAAGACTCTTCAGAGTCCTGTGGACTGCAAGGAGATCAAACCAGTCAATCCTAAAGGAAATCAATCCTGAATATTCATTAGAAGGATTGATGCTGAAGCTGACGTTCCAATACTTTGGCCACCTGATGCAAAGCGCTGATTCATTAAAAAGACCCCAATGCTGGTAAAGACTGAAGGCAGGAGGAGAAAGGGAACAGAGGACAAGATGGTTAGATGGTATCACTGACTCAGTGGACATGAGTTTGAGCAAGCTCCGGGAGTTGGTGATGGACAGGGAAGCCTGGTGTGCTGCAGTCCGTGGGGTCACAAAGTGTCAGACACAACTGAGCCACTGAACAGAAAACACAACCAATTAACCACCACCTAGACCAGAGAGGTGGTTATTATCCCCATCCTGGAAGCACCCACCCCCTTGTGAACTCTTTGTCACAACTCCTTCGTTCCCTAAGGTCAACTGTGTCCTGACTTCATCATTACAGATGAGTTTTTCCTGCTTTGAATTTTACCTAAATGCAATCCTCAGTATGGACTTGGTTGCATGCGGCTTCTGACATCAACATTAAGTCTGTAAGTCACTAGGTTGTTGCACACAGCTGCAGTTTAAATATAACTGTCAGTGCTATGCAGTATTCCAACATATGAATAAAACACAATTTATTTAACCACTGCTGTTGATGAACAGTTGTGCTGTTTCCAACTTTTTTTTATGAATAGTGCTGTTATGAACATTCTTGGATGTGTCTTTTGGGGCACATTTGTACACATCTTTTTTTTTTTTTAATATCTACCTGGGAGTGGAACTGCTGGGTCATAAAGAATATACATGTTCAACCTTAGCCTATGCTGCCAAACAGTTTTCCAAAGCAGCTGAACTGGTTTGGCTCCCCTGAAGCAGTCTATGAAATTTCCTGTTAGGCGACATCCTCGCCAACACTTGGTATAGAAAGCTTTTTAAAAAACAAATGTTCTGATGGGTGTGTAATGCTAATTCTGTGTGGTTTTAACTTCCATTTTCTTGTTCAAGGATGAGATTAAGCACCTGATAATATACACATCAGCCTTGTGGATATACTTTTTTGTTAAGTGCCTACTCAAGGCTTTTTCTCATTTGCACAGTGGATTGTCTGTTTTTTTCCTTATAGTTTTGTAGGTGTTTTTCTTATACATTCTGCATACAAGCCTGTTTCATGAATGCATTGCAAATATCCTCTCCCATTCTGTGACTTGTCTTACCACTCTTTGGTGCTTTTTGACAGCAAATATTCTTAGTTTTAATGAAATCCAATTTAACAATCTTTCCCTTTATGATAGGAATGTTCTATGTTGTAGTTAAGAAATTATCTACACTAAGGTCATAGAGATATTTGCATTTACTTACTTGTAGAATTTTTATTGTTTTACTCTTCAAATCTACAACCTACTTGAACATGACTATATATATATATATATATATATATATAAAGCAGAGATCAAGAAGTATTCTTTCCAGAGAGGTATCTTATCTTCTTAATAATATTTATTGAAGGGTCATCCTTGCCCTTATTGTAGCACAGTGCAATTTTGTCATAAGTCAAGAGACTGTACTCATGTGTGTTTCTGTATTCTCATTTTGCCGTGCCTTCTGCCAATACTACACTACCTTAATTACTGTAGTTTTATAATAATTTTGAAGTCTAATAGTAATTCAGGATTTTTGACTACATTTTGCCCTTTCCAAGTAAATTTCAGAATCCGCCTGTCAATCTGCCACAAAAAAAAATTGCTAGAATTTTCATAATGATTGTATTGAATCTATACCTCAATTTGAGAAATGACAACTTTACAATATTCCATCTTGCAGTGTATTAATGAGGTGCATCCCTTTATCTGTTTATTTTAAAAATTTTTCTTAGTAGTATTTCATTGCTTTCTGTGCAGAGGTCTTGTACACACTGTTGGATTTATTCCTAGACATCAAGTGGTACAGTAAAAATGGCCACAAATTCTTCGCATCTTCTACCATTAGTGAAGTCTATTTCCCCTTCACCTGAATCTGCACTGACCATATAATTTACTTTAAACAATAAATGCCACCTAAGTAACACTGAGCAATCTCTGAATTTTGGCCTCAAGAAATCTTGGAGCATCTCCTTCATCCATTTTGATGTTTCCACGATGTGAGGAGGCCAAGACTAGCTTCCTTGAAAATAAGAGACCACGTGGAAGGGGGTTCTGTTGACGGCCAACAACAAGTACCTGACATGGTCATAAGGTCATCTTACACTGTTTGGTCTCAGCTGACTGGCAGGTGACTGCAGTTACATCAAAAACTACAGGTGAGCCCAGCAGAAACAGCACCTAGCTACTGCTGCTGCTAAGTCGCTTCAGTCATGTCTGACTCTCTGCGACCCCATAGATGGCAGTCCACCAGGCTCCCCCGTCCCTTCAAATTTTCCTTTTCTCTTTAATTGCTGCTGACTAGAAATAAAATTGACTTTTATACAATGTTTTCAGGGACCTTGTTAAATTTACTTATCCATTCTCAAAACTTAGTTGTACATTCTTTTAGATTTTCTAGGTAATCATGTTCTCTACAAATAATAAAGTTTTCATGTTCCTGTCCAGTCTTTGTACCTATTATTTATTTATCTTACTGGCTAGGATGTCTAGCAAAACAGTGAACAGAAGTGGGGATAATAGCCATCCCTTCGTGCTTTCAACAGACCACCACTGAGTACATTTGGGGTAGATTTCTCATGGAGACACATTGTCAGATCAAGGCAGTTCCTATCTACTTTTTGCTTGCTGACTTCTCATAAATGGATGCTGAATTTTGTCAAAAGATTTTGGTGCAACTATTGAGATAAGCCTATTTTTTAATTCTTTCATTTTGCTGATGTGGTGAATGACACGATTTATTTGGACATGTAAACTTGTGAGCACGTGTACTCAGTTGCTCAATCATGTCCAACTCTTTGTGACCCCATGGACTGTAGCCCACCAGGCTCCTCTGTCCATGGGATTCTCCAGGCAAGTATACTGGAGTAGATTGCCATTTTCTCCTTCAAAGAATCTTCCTGACCCAGGGATCCAACACACATCTCTTGCATCCCCTGCATTGGCAGACAGATTAACTTACACTCCTGGAATAAATATGATTTGATTATAATATCTTCATACAATTAGTCCTTGAACTATGTGGGGGTTAAAAGTGCCAATCCCCTACACAGTTAAAAAGCCTCATACAGCTTTATAGTCAGCTTTCCACATCCACAGTTCTACAACCACAGACTTGACCAACGTGTAGTGCTATACATGATTTAAAATATTAATAATTATAAATGTGTTCAAAACACACTGGACAAAATATCATCAAATTAAATACAGCAATGTATAAGAAGAAAAATACAAGTGACCCTTGAATAACATGGGTTTGAACTACGTGGGCCAATAACATACGGATTTTTTCCCAATGGGAAAATTTATAATTTTATATAAATTTATTTAAAATTTATAATTATTAATATTTTAAATCATGTGTCTGATAATGTCAACATCTGATTTATCTGTTTCTAGTGTCCGTTTTTCCTCTTGGTAGGCCTGGTAACTTGTGATTGAATGCTACTTTTTGTATAAAAACTTGTAGATTTTAAATGAGTCTTTAGCTTCAGCAGGTAAAGGATGAGATGGTTAGGTAGCATCACTGACTCAATGGAAATGAGTTTGAGCAAATTCCAGGAGATAGTGAAGAACAGGGAAGCCTGGCGTGCTGCAGTCCATGAGGTTGCAAACAGTAGGGCACGACTTACCAACTGAACAACAAGGCAGTTAAAGGGGGTTAATCCAACCGGTGTTTTCAAGGCTGGCTTTCAGTCTTTGTAAAGCTGATGAAGGACAGGGAAACTTGGCATGCTGCAGTCCATGGGGTCGCAAAGGCACGACCGAGCAACTGAACAATAATAAAGATAATCCTGGTCTGTTTCCATCTTTATAAGATTTGGTATAGTTCTTCAGCAGTCTCAACTGAAAACCAATTCCATCCCTCCACTTTTAATCTCCCCAGCACCATAAAACCGTTAAAAGATCTATTTAGTTAGCCTCTTGACTGCTGTTTTTTGCTTAGCTTCTCCTAGACTACTTAGAAATTGGCATCTGCTTCAAGAAATAA